GCCGGCATGTCGACGGAGCCCCGCGGACGTCTCCAGTCTCTGCTTTCTCCTCGGCTTCCCTGCTGCCGCAAAGTGCTGTCGCAGCAAACGCCATTGGAAGACCAGACGGATGATTTTTACGACAGTGACGTAACGCATAACAGATAACTAGGTTTCTCGTATAATACATTTCTCTTGTTATAAATAATTCAAAACTTTAAGTATTGTTAAAAATGAATTGTTTTAACGAAAAATATTCCTATAATGCATGTACCCCAAACGGTATATTCGAAATGATGATGATTATTATGTCGAGTAATAATAATAATAATAATAATAATAATAATAATAATAATAATAATAATAATGTCCTTATTTAAAAAACAACGTTGCTTTAACACTTTTTGTTTTCTTTTATTTACATTCTCAAACTCGAAAAATTCAAATTAAATATTTTTATCCTTTTATTTCTGAATTTTGTTTTTCATTATTGCTGTCTCTACATCTCTTTACTCTCTTGCTACTCTCAGATGTTGCATAGTCTTGACACGTATTCATTATAATATTATTTTTATTGCATTTTAATTTTTATTATGCAAAGACAAGTAAAAATATTAGCGTTTTTTAACGGACACTGGGCGTCAATCAACGATTCGTCTTACACATGGCGTTTTTTTTCTTTTACTGCAGTTTGTCCACTAGATGTCCACATTAGACTATTTAAGTCTGTGGCCTTATCACGTTGTGTAAGTAGGTCATATCTTTATTTCATTGCAACAACTAATAGTTGCAAGTCAGTGTTTAGGTTTACGTAAAGTGAAGGCATACTATAATATCTGCATATCTGCAGTATAGTCTAGTTAAGTCTAGATGGCGGCGGTGTTCTATTAACGCATATATTTGGTGACCAGTGTAAAAGTCTGCAAAGTGTAATTTTAAAAACATTCATTGCTTCCACAAAAGATGGAAGGAAACTATATAAATAAATATGCATTACCGTGACGTAAATAGAAAATATACAGGTCTATAATGCAGAGATAGCTGTATTCTCTTTTTGCCCTACACAATATTTTTATGCTTAGTCATAAACAGCCAAAATCTCTGTTAGTTTTCCATAGAGAGAGAGAGGAGGAGAGAGAGAAAGCCCTATTTTGTTTGTAAATATATTTATCGCAGAGAAAGACAGAGATGGAAAAACGGGCAGAGATGCAGCTCTTTGAAAGCTAAGCCTGGGGGCTGAGAACTCTCTGAAGAGCAGGAATCAGGCACGCACAATCAGTTCCCCTCTTCAAATCTCTTTTACAGGCCTATCTACTTGAACAGCTTTCTTTTAATTACTTTCTGTATCACTTAGCGAGTGGTGTTTGGGATGAGGAGCAGCAGTTTCTTGCCAGAAACACTTGGCTGGTTTGGACCTATATTCATACATGATATCTTCTTTTAAACAGTCCTGGCCTGTACCTTTTCTCTACCCCCACTTTCTTCCCTTCATCATCCTCCTTTTTTCATTTTCTTTTCTTTCTTTCTTTTTTTTTTTTTTGCTCTGCTCTTGTCTTTGCATGCATGACTTTCTCCATCCTGTCCGTGCCCTTTTTCAAATATCTCCACTCAGTGAGTGTCACTGTTTATAACTGCTACGAAAAGTGTAACTCAACTGGTGGAGAGAAGAAGCAAGAGACGATGGCAATTTATTCTCCTGTTACCTTACTTCCCATTTGAATCAGTGCATTTCAGGAGCTGAAGGCCGAGCTTTAGATCTTATTATTTTTATTTACCTCCAATGCCCCTAACCCCAACCCCTCTCTCCCTCCTTATTATGCCTTCCACCTTACCTTTCTATGAACTACTTCTCCATCTTATTTTCCATGGTCTGGCGTCTGGACCACTAGAGCTGCATTTAATTAGTTTCTGTTGGGTTAATTAGAGACTAAAGTTAGGGGGTCGGACATGAACAAAAGCAGGTCAGGCTGGACGGATGCTGGCGCTATGGAGTGCATGCCAGATTCCACAGTTGAGATTAAGATGGCTGCAAATTGTCTAGAGTATTAGAAAAATAGAGGGAGGGAGGGAGAGAGAGAAAGAGAAGGGTAAAGAGTTTTGTCATATAGTTTAAAGGTATATGGTATAAAATAAAAAGCTGTTATTTTTTAAAGGTCATATTGGGTTGTACTTCTGTGCAGAGATGCTACTCTGTCTGTGGGAATCATAACAGTGGTGAAGTGGCATGGTTAGCTTAGCAGGTCTTTTATTTTTATACCCATATTTTCAACATATTGTAAAATTAAATATTTCTCATGTTGTGGGATTAAATTTCAAAGATCAGATTTAGGTTTTATAGTATGCCACACTGTTGTTGAAATCTGAGAGAACACCAGGGCTCTGTGATACATTAGGCCATTTAGATATTTTATCGATGTGTTGGTGACTGACCCCAGGCACGATGTATTTGCCCTCAAGGTGCATCTCCGATATTTAGAAAAGACAAGTCTCCAAACCTTTATTGTGTTTCTCATTCTTGTTTCAGTGAGTCAGAGGATTAGATGAGGTACTGGAGACAAGAGACAAGGAATGGCGAGCAAGTGAGGCTACAGGAGAGGAGAAAGGAAAAAAAGGGGATCTCTGGCATGGATGGAGCTCCCTCAGTGTGTTAGGGTCCCAGGGCCCTAAGACAGGCGCCAGCCCAGCAGGGAAGCCGAGACAATCACGCAGCACCAGATTCAATTCACAGAGATGGAGGGATGATGGGAGTTGATGAAATTGGAGGGGATGATTGAAGGGGAGGGACGGTGTTACAAGGAGCACTGCTAAGAAAGCTGGAGGACAGAGGTCCAGTGAGAGACAGAGGTAGATGCAGAATGGTAAAAAAGAACGCATTGGATGCAGGAAAAGAACAAGGCGCTGCAAATAAAGAGGAGGTGAGACAAAGTAAAAGGAAGAATAAAATCAAGCTGAAGAGAGATAGCACATATCCCTTCATAACAGTCTTTATCACCGGCCCAGATCGTGGCGTATGAACAGTGATCCAAGTCAACCATCTGCTGAGGCTAGATAAGTCTGGGAGAGCCGGGTATTGAGCTGTCACTCAGGGAGGTGTGCAGAGAGAGAATGAGGAGGGGAGAGAGAAAAAGAAGCGAAAGGCCAAGAGAGACAGAGAGATGGAGATGGAGGCAGGGGGGAATGTGCAAGGTAGGGACATTTTGATATCTGCACTGACTGTGGAGCAGCCTCTCTTGTCACAGAAAGACTTAACGTCAAACAGATGTTCAGTCCTGTTCCTTGTAATCCTCCCACTTATAAGAATCACAATAAAATGAGTTCATATTATCTAAAAATATCTTTCAGATTTAAAGCATACACCATTAACATCAGGACCACAAATGAAGACACTGTCACAGTTACCTATTTTTGCCCGTTTCCACCTTTCACACAAATTTTAGTTTTTTTTCTCTATCTGATGACATAGTGGGAGTCACACATATATGTCAATATAGCCGTATTAAACACCACCAACACTTCAACCAATGTCATGACATTGGTTTTTAAAAATATGAACATGTATGCAAAATAACTTAAAGAAAAATGTGTTCCATTGTAAGTTCAAGTAGTCCTGGCACTACATTAGTCATAGTTTTGACAAAGTAGAGCTACCCTCTTTCAAACACCACACCAGGCTCCATTTGCACAGATTAATTCCTGGGAATTTTAACCATGTAGATGATGGAACTCAGTCCACGTTGCCTCATTTCCAGAAAAAAAAACAAAACACATTTATGTTAAAGAAAAGCATGTGACTCACAGAGACAGCACAATGTTATTAGAAGATTTTGGTGTCAACTTCATATTTGACAGAGACAGAGAGCTGGAGAACCACTATCTCTGCCCCATAGTAAAAACGTTGTGTTTTACTGGATGTCTTAGTTCTGAGGCTTGATCTTCTGAAACCCTCTGGTTTAGACACCTCTTATGTCAGGGAGGATCTTCCTTGTGGAAGGTTGATATCCAGCTAAAGCTTCTATACAGGTGATTAAGTTAAATCCCCCTAAATGTATCCAACCTAATTCACGTACTCTATATACCTGTGAGCAGGAAATTTAACTCATATGTGAAGAAAATAATCTGACTAGTTGATGTTGGTGACCTGTGTGATCACAGTTTATTATATGTGTTTCAAAGATGAATGTTTATTCCCACATCAGATGTGATTTGTGCTTATAATGTGGTACTCATGGTACAGGGGCATGAATTAAGACCCGGGAGGGGGGTCAGGCCCAAGAGTGGGGGTTAGGAGAGGATTAGCTGAGGCCAGTTGGATCATTTTACAGCCGAAGGACCCCCCTCACCTCCTCACCCGCTGCAGTCTCTCGGACAATG